TTAAATAAAATTTGACTCTTGACAAGTGCACATTTGCTTGAGTCCGTTCTTCACTCTCGCCCATTTTTCTTTCAGGCCTGGTCCTCTTCGAAGACCCCACGAATTACTAGTCCCACAGGCAGGTACAGACTATGAAAGCTAGAAGGGCCTGCAAGGATATCATGCAGACCCTAAGAGAATGTAGATATCAGCCCAGGCTGCTATAATCAGCAAAACTCTCAGTCCTCATAGACGGAGAAAACAAGATATTCAATGACAAAAACAAATTTCAACAATACCTCCATACAAATCCAGCGTTATAGAAGACACTAGAAGAGAAAATACAACCAAAGAAAACTAGCTAATTTCAAGAAAACAGAGGAAATAATAAACCTCAGTACAGTAAAACAAAAAGCAACCAAGCACACAACCTTATGACCACAGCCAACATCAAAATCAAAGGATCTTTTTTCTTTATTAATTACACTTTATTCACTTTGTATCCCCCCTGTGGTTCCCTCTCTCCTCCTGTCCCAATCCTTCCTTTCCTCCACCCTCTGCATGCATGCCCCTCCTCAAGTCCACTGATAGAGGAGGACTTCTTTTCCTTCCTTCTGATCCTAGTCAATTAGGTCTCATCAGGAGTGGCTACATTGTCTTCTTCTGTGGCCTGGTAATGCTGTTTCTCCCTCAGGGGGAGGTAATTAAAGAGCAGGCCAATCAGTTCATTTCAGAGACAGTCCCTGTTCCTATTACAATGGAACCCACTTGGATACTGAACTGCCATGGGCTACATCTGTGCAGGGGTCTTAGGTTTTCTCCATGCATGGTCCTTGGTTGGAGTATCAGTCTCAGGAAAGACCCCTGTGCTCAGATATTTTGGTTCTGTTGCTCTCCTAGTGGAGTTCCTGTCCTCTCCAGATCTTACTGTTTCCCACTTCTTCCTAAGATTCCCTGCACTCTGCCCAAATGCTGCCCATAAGTCTCAGCATCTACATTGATAGTCTGTAGGGCAGAGCCTTTCAGAAGTCCTCTGTCAGGCTACTGACTTGTTCCCTCTATTCTCCTTCTTCTGATGTCCATCCTCTTTGCCTTTCTGGATAGGAATTGAGCATTTTAGCAGGAGTCCTCCCTCTTGATCAGTTTCTTTAGGTGTACAGATATTACTAGGTTTATAAAAAAAAGATCAAAGGGTCTAACAGCCACTGGTCATTAAACTCTTTCAGCATCAATGGACTCAATTCTCCAATAAAACGACACAGACTAACAGAATGGATGCGTAAACAAAACCCAGCAACTTGTTGCATACAAGAAACACACCTAAGTCACAAAGATAGATAGTACCTGAGGGTAAAGGGTTGGAAGACTGCTTTTCAAGCAAATGCACCCAAGAAGCAAGCAGGAATAGCCATTCTAATACCTGATAAAATAGATTTTCAACCAAAATTAATCAAAAGAGATGGAGAAGGACATTTCATACTCATCAACGGAAAATTCCACCAGGAAGACATTACAATTTGAACATCTATGCCACAAATGCAAGGGCACCTTTTACATTTGTAAAAGAAACATTAATGAAACTAAAAAAAAAAAAAAAACCACATATATCCCCACACATTAATAGTGGGAAACTTCAACACCCCACTCTCAACAAAGGACAGGTCAACAAAACAGAAATTAAACAAAGAAACAACATCTCTAAGGTCATTCAGAGGTCATGAATCAAATGGACCTGACAGACATTTACAGAACCTTACACCAAAACACAAAAGAATTTACCTTCTTCTCAGCACCTCATGGAACCTTTTCCAAAATAGATCATATACTTGGTCAAAAAGCAAGCTGCAACAGATAAAAGAAGATTGAAATAATCCCTTGTATCCTGTATGATTACTATGGAATAAAGCTGGACCTCAACAACAAAAAAATAGCAATAGGCCTACACACATATAGAAACTGAAAAACTTGCTACTAAATGACAGCTGGGTTAGGGAAGAAATAAAGAAAGAAATTAAAGTCTTCCTAGAACTCAATGAAAATGAAGACACAACATACCCAAACTTGTGGGACACAATGAAAGCAGTGCTAAGAGGAAAGTTCATAGCACTAAGTGCCTTCAAGAAGAAATTTGAGACAGCTCATTCAAGCAACTTAATGGCTCACCTAAAAAACTTAGAAAAAGAACAAGCAGACACACAAAAAAGGAGTAGACAGCTGGAAATAATCAAACTCAGGGCTGAAATCAATCAATTAAAAACAAATAAAACAATTCAAAGAATCAATGAAACCAAGAGCTGGTTCTTTGAGAAAATCAACAAGATCGACAAACCCTTAGCCAAGCTAACTAAAAGGCAAATCAACAAAATGAACAAAATCGGAAATGAAAAGGGGGACATAACTACAGACACTGAGGAAATCCAAACAATCATTAGGACTTATTTCAAAAGTCCATATGCCACAAAATTTGAAAATCTAAATGAAATTGACAATTATCTTGATTGATTCGACTTACCAAAGCAGAATCAGGATCAGGTAAATCAATTAAATTTTACTATATCCCCCAAGGAATTAGAAGCAGTCTTTGAAAGTCTCCCATCCAAATAAAAGCCCAGGACCAGATGGTTTCAGTGCAGAATTCTACCAGACCTTCAAAGAAGAGCTAACTCCAATTCTCTTCAAACTATTCCACAAAATAGAAACAGAAGGAACATTACCAAACTCTTTCTATGAAGCCACAGTCACGTTCATACCTAAACCACACAAAGACTGAACAAAGAAAGAGAATTTCAGGCCAATCTCCCTTATGAACATTGATGCAAAAATACTTAACAAAATACTTGCAAACTGAATACAAGAACACATCAAAGATATCATCCACTATGACCAAGTAGGCTTCATCCCAGGCATGCAGGGGTGGTTCAATATTCGGGAATCCATCAATATGATCCACCATATTAACAAACTGAAAAAAAAAAAAACAACATGATAATTTCCCTGGATGCTGAAAAAGCATTTGACAAAATCCAACATACATTCAGGTTTAAGGTATTGGAGAGATCAGAGATACAAGGTACATATATAACCATAGTAAAGGTGATATACAGCAAGCCTATAGCCAACATGAATGGAGAGAAACTTAAAGCAATCCCACTGAAATCAGGGACAAGACAATGCTGCCCACTCTCTCCATATCTCCTCAACATGGTTCTGGAAGTCCTTGCTAGAGCAATAAGGCAATTGAAGGAGATCAAGGGGATAAAAAGTGGAAAGGAAGAAGTCAAATTATCGCTATTTGCAGATGATATGATAATATATGTGAGTGGCTCCCAAAACTCTACCAGGGAACTCCTACTGCTGATAAACACCTTCAGCAAAGTGGCCGGATACAAAATTAACTAAAAAAAAAAAAATAAGTAGCCCTGTATACAATAGACAAATGGCTGAGAAAGAAATTAGGAAAACAACAACCTTCACAATAGCCATAAATGACAAAAAGTACCTTGGAGTAACCCTAACCAAGCAAGTCAAAGACTTGTATGAAAAAAAAAATTTTAGTCTCTGAAGAAAGAATTAGAAGAAGATATCAGAATATGGAAATATCTCCCATGCTCATGACTTGGCAGGATTAACATAGTAAAAATGGCCATCTTACCAAAAGCAATCTGCAGATTTAATGCAATTCCCATCAAATTGCCAACACAATTCTTTACAGACCTGGAAAGAAAAATTTCCAACTTCATATGGAATAACAAGGAACCCAGAATTGCTAAAACAATCCTCTACAATAAAAGATCATCTGGAGGTATCTCCATTCCTGATCTTAAGCTGTACTATAGAGCAACAGTTATAAAAACTGCATGGTAGTGGCATGGAAATAGAATGGTGGATCAATGAACCGAACAGAGGACCCAGAAATAAACCCACACACTTACGGACACCTGATCTTTGACAAAGATGCCAAAACCATGCAATGGAGAAAAGATAGCATCTTCAACAAATGGTACTGATCTAACTGGATGTCTACATGTAGAAAAAGGGAAAATAGATCCATACTTATAACCCTGCACAAGACTAAAGCCCAAGTGGATTAAAGATCTCAACATAAAATCAGACACATTAAATAGGTTAGAAAAAAAATGTGGGGAATACCCTTGAAGTCATTGGCACAGGAGACAACTTCCTGAATAGAACATCAACAGCACAGGCTCTAAGAGCAACCATCAATAAATGGGACCTCATGAAACAATCTATAGCCATGCAACATCCTGGATTGTTTTGGGTTATGTGATACCAAGCTGAGTGTAGGAGAAGGAATCGGTACAATCTAAGTGTCCATGTAAAGTGAAAGAATGTCATTCCTCATGAGAAAAATTTGTAGTTATAACCAATCTTATATCACTCAATATTGCACAGCCTCAAATTGAAAATGAAAAGAAATAATGAATGTGGAGAGGATGAAGAAAAGTAATAATTACCATACTATTAGCTTTACTTATGAATCCATTAAGCCTTTTCAGAGCTGTTGACTAAGACAGATTTGACAACCAATTCTTTGTAGCCATAAGAATGTAATGACACTAGCCAGCATTGTCTCTGTGTTCCCAGCTGGCAGATAATTTTTATATATTTTCCAAACATGTGAGGATCAGAAGTATAAGATGAAAGCATGGGCAGGTTCAATGTTTGTCAGAAAATATTTTCTTACTCATGGACATCACATAGATTTCTCAAAATGTTCATGAAAAACAGGATGGAAGTGCAGGAAATTTCAAAATGACTGAATTCGATTATTATAAAGTCTATATAAAAATCTTTACAAATCCTTATTTTCTTATACAGGTCTCATGTTCTCATACACATGTTCACAATAAAGGCTTGTGTGTCCATACCAATGAGTCAAACAAAGAAACAAACACAAACAAAAATCTCCAAGATTTTAGTGGTTAGCTCACACTGAGTTTTTCTTTAAATTACCATGTCTAAACCCCAAATCTCTTATGATTAATGTGCTCTGTTGTCAGGGTAACACATAAGGCCATCCACATGATTTCCTGTATTTATTCTGCCATGGAAGAAATCAATAAGAATCCTCATATTTTACCCAACATTTCTCTGCTAGTTAAAGTTGAATGTAACTTGTTTGATGATCATACAAAAATTGGATTATCCTTGAAAAGAATGGAATGTACTCCTAACCATTACTGTACAAAACAGGGAAGATATATAGTTGTACTTACTGGACACTTACGGTCACTATCTACCAATCTTGAATGATTTTTGTACATCTCCAGAACTCCAGAGGTAAATCTATGTGGGTTACATTTAATGAAATGCTATATTGCTTCATTCTGACTTTCTAAAAACCAATGCAGGCTAAGAGGCAAAGAAAGTGTTTATGTCTATTCTCAGATACGCAGATACTTTCTTAGGGAAATACAACAACTTTATCAGAAATGAACATGAGAGACAGCAGTAATATGAAATATTTTACTAGAAGACAAATTACTAGTTTATTGGTGCCAGTTTAGTCACAAATTTGGAGATAGTCTTAATAATGAGATGAAAAATTCACACTTTTTTTAACTCTCTCAGCCTTTGCTTAGCGAACTTAGATCTTTGACTATACATTATGCATTCCATCTTTTTCATATAGTTTCTTATTTTTTATGTCTTTCAGCTTTACTGTGGTCATTTCTATCCTCTCTTCAGTGCCTATGAGCACTTTCCTTATCACTACCAGATGTCTCCCAAGGACACATCTCTATCACTAGCCATGATTCATTTCAGATGGAACTGGGTGGGAGTAATCATTTCATATGAGGACCATGAAATTCAATTCCGTTCTGAATTGAAAGGAGAAATGGAAAAATCCATCGTCTGTTTTGAATTTGTGACTGTTATATCAAATAATATATTATATGTTGAAATCGCTAAGTATTATAAGGAAATTACATCATCAGCAGCAAAAGTTGCAATTGTTTATGGAGACAAAGACCCAGGCATGCAGGAGTGGTTCAGTATAAGGAAATCCATCAATGTGATCCACCACATAAACAAACTGAAGGAGAAAAAAAAAAACCAACATGATCATCTCCTTAGATGCTGAAAAGGTATTTGACAAAATCTAACATCCATTCAAGTTTAAAGTCTTGTAGAGATCAAGGATACAATTCACCTACCTGAACATAGTAAAGCCAATATACAGCAAGCCTATAGCCAACATCAAACTCAATGGAGAGAAACTTAAATCATTCCCACTGAAATCAGGGACAAGGCAAGGCTGTCTACTCTCTCCATATCTCTTCAACATTGTTCTTGAAGTCCTTGCTAGAGCAATAAGACAATTGAAGGAGATCAAAGAGATACAAATTGGAAAGGAAGAAGTCAAAGTATCACTGTTTGCAGATGATATGATAGTATACCTGAGTCACCTCAAAAATTCTACTAGGGAACTCCTACAGCTGAATAACACCTTCAGCAAAGTGGCTGGATAAAAAATTAACTAAAAAAAATCAGTAGCCCTCTTGTATACACAAGACAAAAGGGCTGAGAAAGAAATTGGGGAAACAACACCATTCACAATAGCCACAAATGACATAAAGTGCCTTGGTGTAACCCTAACCAAGCAAGTCAAAGATTTTATGAAAAAAATTTCCAGTCTCTGAAGAAAGAATTAGAAGATATCAGAAGATGGAAAGATCTCCCATGCTCATGGCTTGGCAGGATTAATACAGTAAAAATGGCCATCTTACCAAAAACAATCTACAGATTTAATGCAATTCCCTTCAAATTACCAACACAATTCTTTACAGACCTTGAAAGAAAAATTCTCACCTTCATATGGAACAAGAAACCCAGAATTGTTAAAACAATCCTCTACAATAAAAGATCTTCAGGAGGTATCTCGATCCCTGATCTCAAGCTGTACTACAGAGCAACAATACTAAAAACTGCATGGTACTGGCATAGAAACAGAATGGTGGATCAATAGAATCGAATACAAGACCCTGACATAAATCCACACACTTATGGACACCTGATTTTTGACAAAGATGCCAAATCCATTCAATGGAAAAAAGACAGCATCTTCAACAAATGGTGCTGGTCCAACTGGATGTCTACATGTAGAAAAAAAGCAAATAGATCCATACCTATAACCCTGCACAAAACTAAAGTCCAAGTGGATCAAAGATCTCAACATAAAACCTGACACACTAGACTGCTTAGAAGAAAAAAGTGGGGAAGAGCCTTGAACTCATTGGCACAGGAGACAACATCCTGAACAGAGCACCAACAGCACAGGCTCTAAGAGCATCAATCAATAAATGAGACCTCATGAAACTAAAAAGCTTCTGTAAAGCAAAAGACACCATTGTCATCAAAACAAAACGACAGACTTTTTGGAAATATTGGGAAATATTGGGAAAGGATCTTCACCAACTCTGTATCTGACAGAGGGCTTATATCCAGTATATATAAAGAACTAAAAAGTTAGACAGCAAAAAATCAAGTAATTCAATTATAAAACGGGGTATAGAGCCAAACAGAGAATTCTCTGCAGAGGAATATTGAATGTCAGAGAACAACTTAAAGAAATGCTCAACTTCATTAGCCATTAGGGAAATGCAAATCAAAATGACTCTAAGATTTCACCTTACACCCATCAGAATGGCTAACATAAAAAACTCAAGAGACAGCACATGCTGGAGAGCTTGTGGAGAAAGGGAAACCCTCCTCCACTGCTGGTGGGAATGTAAACTTGTACAGCCACTTTGGAAATCAATGTGGTGCTTAGACAACTAGGAATAGCGCTTCCTCAAAATCCAGGCATACCACTCCTAGGCATATATCTAAAAGATTCTCAAGTACACAATAAGGACATTTGCTCATCCTTGTTTGTAGCAGCCTTATTTGTAATAGCCAGAAGCTGGAAACAGCCCAGATGCCACTCAGTGGAAGAATGGATGCACAAATTGTGGTATATCTACACAATGGAATATTACTCAGCAATAAAAAACAAGGAAATCATGAAATTTGCAGGTATGTGGGGGAACTGGAAAAGATCATCCTGAGTGAGCTATCCCAGCAGCAGAAAGACGCACATGGTATATACTCACTCATATAGACATATAATATAGGATAAACCTACTAAAATCTGTACAGCTAAGGAAACTAATCAAGAGGGAGGACTCTTGTTAAAATGCTCAATTCCTATCCAGAAAGCCAAAGAGGCTGGACTTCAGAATAAGGAGAAGAGAGGGAACAAGTCAGGAGCCTGACCCAGAGGACCTCTGAAAATCTCTGTCCTGCAGACTATCAATGTAGATGCTGAGACTTATGGGCAACCTTTGGGCAGAGTGCAGGGAATCTTAGAAAAGAAGTCAGAAAAAGTAAGATCTGGAGAGAACAGGAACTCCACAAGGAGAGCAAAATAACCAAAAAATCTGAGCTCAGGTGTCTTTCCTGAGACTGATGTTCCAACCAAGGACTATGCATGGAGATAACCTAAGACCCCTGCACAGATGTAGCCCATGGTAGTTCAGTATCCAAGTGGGTTCCATTATAATAGGAACAGGGACTGTCTCTGACATGAACTGATTGGCCTATTCTTTACTTACCTTCCTCTGAGGGGGAAGCAGCATGACTGGGCCACAGAAGAAGACAATGCAGCCACTCCTGATGAGACCTAATTGACTAGGATCAGAAGGAAGGAAAAGAAGACCTCCCCTATCAGTGGACTTGGGTTGGGGCATGCATGCAGAGGGTGGAGGAAGGGAAGAATTGGGATGGGAGGAGGGAGGGAACCACAGGGGTGGAGATACAAAGTGAGTAAAGTGTAATTAATAAAGAAAAAAAAAGGAAAAAGAGACTCTAAACTTCACTTTTTCTTTATTATATTGAAATCTAGTGACATTGGGAAAATCTGGGTCATTGTGTCACAATTTGATATGATAACACTTACAGGAGATTTCATGCTTAATGCCACCCTTGGGACTCTGATTTTTTCCCATGAGCACTCTGAGATGTCTGGTTTTAAACAATTTATGCAGATGTTGCACCCTTTAAACTACAGTAATGGACTTTCACCTGCTAAACTACGTTGGATTTATTTTAAGTGTTCTTTTCTATTTTCAAATTATAAGAAACTGAAGAATTGCCCACTGGAAACCTTATTGAAGTGGTTATTCAGATCACCTCTTGGAATGTCCATGAGTGACATATCTTATAACTTATACATTGCTGTCAATGCTGTGGCCCACTCACTCCATGAGATGCTTCTGCACCAAGTAGACATATTGTCAAAGAATTCTGGGAAGTATCTGGAATTTGTCTCCTGGAAGGTAATGAGTCTTATATTTTATGGCATGTGTGTTATAGAGATGACATTCTTAAAAGGAACCATAAGGTCTAAATACATGTGAAAAGGAAACTTTCTCCAAAATTAATATATTTATGTGCTCTATCACTGCATATAAGGAAGATCATATTAGTGTCATAAATTACTATACAGTCAACAACTAGTACCCAAGTAAGGTTTTCATAATCTAAGCCAATAATTTTTAAATATTTTAACCAAACATGCATCTCATATTTTTAACATTTGAAAAAATATTTTATCATAAAATTCTTAAGTGACAATAAAACATTACTTGTGTTTTATGTGATCAAAAAGTTGAATATTTGAATAAATATTTGAATAAATATCAAATAATATCCAGTAGTTCTGCCAAATTTTGACCTATTAAGGATCTCAGTTCCATAGGTAATCATCAAGTAGCACAAGAAGGGATTAATGTCACACTAATTTCCTGGCACATAATTCGGGTGTGCATGTATTAGGGCATCAAATCCAGTGAGAAAATGGTATTTTTAAAGCATAGTAAAACTTCACATCTGCATAGAATTTCTTCCTTTTTTTACTACAGGTAAAGTTATATTTTAGGAAAATATAATGTTTTATTTTAGGAAAGTATAATGGAATTTAAGGACAGTCTAGACTTTCTGTTCTAATGTGTAGACATCATTGAAACTAAAATGACAAATGTGTTTTAAATGTTCTCTTTTCTGAAAAACATACAATTTGTCAATCCTTGACCTAGTGAACATGAATCAGAATTCAAAACTGGATACATGGTATGACATTTTCCATGTCATGAATTTTATGAACTACATGGGAATTAAAATAAAAATAGGACACTTTTCTGGTTATTTTCTTAATGGTCAACAACTGCGTATATCTAATCAATTGATAGAGTTGGTCACAGATATCAAACAGTTAATTTAGACTTATTTTTAAAGCTTTGCATGCAGCACAACTACCTAAAAATCTAATGGTCAACTTGTTATTCATTGTACTATAAAAGTTTTGATATTTACTCATTTATTGACTCACTTTGCCATCCTATATTTCTTCTCTTTCTTTCTCATTCTATTTTACTCTCACCCTCTCTCATGTGTGTTTCATATGTGAATTAATACATATTAATTCACATATTAATTCACATATTAATATGTGAATACATGTGTCTAAAACACAATGGTATAATGTTTTATATTATGATACATGCGTGTAAAACGATCATTCAGTAGCTCTACATTGTGAATCACTGCAATTTGTGTGACATATGTTAACTCTTTATTTCTATGACATATATGATTTTCCTCAGACTCCACCTTCCATGTGTAGTATGCCTTGCAGTCCAGGCCTCAGAAAATCCCCTCAGGAAGGAAAGGCTGTTTGCTGCTTTGAATGTAACCCATGCCCAGAAAATGAAATTTTCAATATGACAAATAAGGATATGTTTAACTAAGAAAATCAACAGTTTGTTTTCTTCTCCCCTATTTACAGAGTTCTTTAAAAATCTCCATTTTAGAAAGGAAAAGTAAAACTCATTATACAGTTAAAAACATCAGTAACACTGCTGTTTGAAATATTACATTCTCTGCCTCTTGAAGTACATTTTTGTTTCATCAATCTTGAGTCAGTGGAAATAGTATGTCCTCTTGTATATTTTACTCCTAAATATTAATTTCAAATTTTCATTTCTATTAAAAATATAGATGCTATACAATATTATTTTTACAGCATATCATATGGTTTCTCCTAATGACTAGATGTTTGATGATGTTGCATTAGAGACTCATACTTCAACCAAGAACCATGCATGGAGATAACTTAGAACCCCTGCACAGATGTAGCCCATGACAGTTTAGTGTCCAAGTGGGTTACATAGTAATGGGAAGAGGGACTGCCTGTGACATAATCTGATTGGTCTGCTCTTTGATCAAGTCCCCCTGAGAGGGGAGCAGCCTTACCAGGCCACAGAAGATGACAATGCAGCCACTCCTGATGAGATCTGATAGACTAGGATCAGAAGGAAGGAGAGGGGGACCTACCCTATCAGTGGACTTGAGGAGGGGCATGCGTGAAGAAAGGTGTGGGAGGGTAGGATCAGGAGGGGAGGAGGGAGGGACTTCTGGGGGATACAAAGTGAATAAAGTGTAATTAATAAAAATAAAAAAGAGGGAGGACTCTTGCTAAAATGCTCACTTCCTATCCAGAAAGGCAAAGAGGATGGACATCAGAAGGAGAAAACAGGAAACAAGTTAGGAGCCTGACACAGAGGACTTCTGAAAGGTTCTGTCCTGCAGACTACCAATGCAGATGCCAAGGCTTATGGGCAACCTTTGAGCAGAGTGCAGGGAATCTTAGGAAAGAAGTAGGAAACAGTAAGATCTGGAGAGGACAGGAACTCCACAAGGAGGGCAACAGAACCAAAAAATCTGAGCTCAGGGGTCTTTCCTGAGACTAATACTCCAACCAAGGACTATGCATGGAGATAACCTAAGACCCCTGCACAGATGTAGCCCATGGCAGTTCAGTATCCAAGTGGGTTCCATTGTAGTAGGAACAGGGACTGTCTCTGACATGAACTGATTAGCCTGCTCTTTAATTACCTCCCCCTGCGGGGGAACCACATTACTAGGCCACAGAAGACAATGCAGCCACTCCTGATGAGACCTAATTGACTAGGATCAGAAGGAAGGAAAAGAAGATCTCCATATCAGTGGACTTGGGGAGGGGCATGCATGCAGAGGATGGAGGAAGGGAGGGATAGGGACAGGAGGAGGGAGGGAACCACAGGGGTATACAAAGTGAATAAAGTGTAGTTAATAAAGAATCAAAAAAAGACAAAATGAAAGGCAGACAAAAAGAATATAAACTTCTTGAACTACGTTACCATATTATCCAAAATTTATAATTTTATGTGAATTTGATATAATTAATATCTCTGTAACAATAAAAGATTGTAATTTCTTTATTTTTTAATATTTTTTATTATTAATTACACTTTATTCACTTTGTATCCCCCCATAAGCCACTCCCTCCTTTCCTCCCAATCCCAGCCCCTCCATCCCCCTTCTTCACCAATGCCCCTCCACAAGTCCTTCTTCTGATATTAGTCTATCAGATAACATCAGGAGTGGCTGCATTGTCTTCTTCTGTGGCCTGGTAAGGATGCTCCCCCCTCAGGGGGAGGTGATCAAAGAGCAGGCCAATCAGATTATGTCAGAGGCAGTCCCTCTTCCCATTACTATGTAACCCACTTGGACACTGAACTGTTATGTGCTACATCTGTGGAGGGGTTCTAGGTTATCTCCATGAATAGTCCTTGGTTGGAGTATGAGTCTCTGGGATATTCCCTGTGTTCAAATTTTCTGGTTCTGTTGCTCTCCTTGTGTGGTTCCCATCCTCTCCAGCTCTTACTATTTCCCACTTCTTACATAAGATTCCATGCACTCTGCACAACAGTTGGCAATGAGTCTCAGCCTCTGTTTTGATATTTTTCAGGACAGAGGCTTTCAGAGGCCCTCTGTGGGAGGTTCCTAGGTTGTTTCCTGTTTTCTTCTTCTTCTGATGTCCAATATCTTTGCCTTTCAGGATGGAGATTGAGCTTTTTAGTCAGGGTCCTCTCTCTTGATTAATTTCTTTAGACATACAGTTTTTACTAGGTTTATCCTATGTTATATGTTTATATGAGTGAGTATATACCATGTGTGTCTTTCTGCTTCTGGGACAGCTTGCTCAGGATGATCCTTTCTAGGTCTCACCATTTACCTACAAATTTCATGATTTCCTTAATAGTCATTGCTGAGTAATATTCCATTGTGTAGATATACCACAATTTCTGTATTCATTCTTCAGTTGAGGGGCATCTGGGCTGTTTCAGCTTCTGGCTATTACAAATAACATGCTACAAACATGGTTGAGCAAATGTCCTTATTTTGTACTTGAGCCTCTTTTGGTATATGCCTAGGAGTGGTATGGCTGGATCTTGAGGAAGCGCTATTCCTAGTTTTCTGAGAAAACGCCAGATTGATTTCCAGAGTGATTGTACAAGTTTACATTCCCACCAGCAGTGGAGTAGGCTTCCCCTTTCTCCACAACCTCTTCAGCATGTATTGTCACTTGGGTTTTTCATCTTGGCCATTTTGATAGGGATAGGAAACCTCAGGGTTGTTTTGATTTGCATTCCCCTAATCGCTAATGAGGTTGAGCATTTCTTTAAGTTGTTCTCTGCCATTCGATATTTCTCTACAGAGAATTCTGTTTAGCTCTGTTCCTCATTTTTTAATTGGATTACTTGGTTTGCTGTTTTTCACCTTCTATAGTTCTTTATATATACTGGATATTAATCCTCTGTCAAATAAAGGGTTGGTGAAGATTCTTTCCCAATCTGTAAGCAGTCATTTTGTTTTGATGATGGTGTCCTTTGCTTTACAGAAGATTTTCAGTTTCATGAGGTCCCATTTATTGATTGTTGCTCTTAGAGCCTGTGCTGTTGGTGTTCTGTTCAGGAAGTTGTCTCCTGTGCCAATAACTTCCAGGGTATTCCTCACTTTTTTTTCTAACATATTTAATGTGTATGGTTTTATGTTGAGATCTTTGATCCACTTGGACTTTAGTTTTGTGCAGGGTTGTAAGTATGGATCTATTTTCTTTTTTCTACATGTAGACATCCAGTTAGACTATTTCCATTTGTTGAAGATGCTATCTTTTCTCCATTGCATAGTTTTGGCATCTTTGTCAAAGATCAGGTGTCCTTAAGTGTGTGGGTTTATTTCTGGGTCCTCTGTTCGGTTCCATTGATCCACCATTCTGTTTTTATGCCAGTAACATGCAGTTTTTACAACTGTTGCTCTATAGAACAGCTTAAGATCAGGGATGGAGATACCTCCAGAAGATCTTTACTTGTAAAGGATTGTTTTAGCAATTCTGGGTTTATTCTGTATGAAGTTGAGAATTTTTCTTTCAAGTTTTGTTAAGAATTGTTTTGGTAATTCGATGGGAATTGCATTGAATCCGTAGATTGCTTTTCCTAAGATGGCCATTTTTACTATATTAATCCTGCCAAGCCATGAGCATGGGAGATCTTTCCATCTTCTGATATCTTCTAATTCTTTTTTCAGAGACTTGAATTTTTTTTCATACAAATCTTTGACTTGCTTGGTTAGGGTTACTCCAAGCTACTTTATGTCCTTTGTGGCTATTGTGAAGATTGCTGTTTCCCTAATTTCTCTCTCAGCCCTTTTGTCTTATGTATACAGGAGGGATACTGAATTTTTTTGAGTTAATTTTGTATCTGGCCACTTTGCTGAAGGTGTTTTTCTGCTGTAGGAGTTCCCTGGTAGAGTTTTGGGGGCTGCTCATGTATACTATCTTATCATCTGCAAATAGTGATAATTTGACTTCTTCTTTTCCACTTTGTATTCCCTTGATCTCCTTCAACTGTCTTATTGCTCTAGCAAGGACTTCCAGAACTATGCTGAAGAGATATGGAGAGAGCGGGCAGCCTTGTCTTGTCCCTGATTTCAGTGGGATTGCTTTAAGTTTCTCTCAGTTCATTTTGATGTTGGCTACAGGCTTGCTGTATATCGCTTTTACTATGTTTAGATCTGTGCCTTGTTCCCTGATCTCTCCAATACTTTAAACTTGAATGGATGTTGGATTTTGTCAAATGCTTTTTCAGCATCTAGAAAGATTATCATGTGTATTTTTCTTTCAGTTTGTTAATATGGTGGATCACATTGATGGATTTCTGTATATTGAACCACCCCTGCATACCTGGGATGAAGCCTACTTGGTCATAGTGGATGATATCTTTGATGTGTTCTTGTATTCAGTTTGCAAGTATTTTGTTCAGTATTTTTGCATCAATGTTCATAAGGGAGATTGGCCTGAAATCCTCTTTCTTTGTTGGGTCTTTGTGTGGTTTAGGTACCAAGGTGACTGTGGCTTCATAGAATGAGTTTGGTAGTGTTCCTTCTGTTTCTATTTTGTGAAATAGTTTGAAGAGAACTGACTGGAGTTAGCTCTTCTTTGAAGGTCTGGTAGAATTGTGCACTGAAACCATCTGGTCCTGGGCTTTTTTTGGATGGGAGATTTTGGATGACAGCTTCTATTTCCGTGGGGGATATAGAACTATTTAATTGATTTATCTGATTCTGATTCAGGTTTGGTAAGTCTAATCAATCAAGATAATTGTCCATTTCATTTAGATTTTCAAATGTTGTGGCATATGGACATTTGAAATAAGTCCTAATGATTGTTTGTATTTCCTCAGTGTTTGTAGTGATGTCCCCCTTTTCATTTCTGATTTTGTTGATTTGGATGATGTCTCTCTGCCTTTTAGTTAGCTTGGCTAAGGGTTTGTCTATCTTGTTGATTTTCTCAAAGAACCAGGTTTTGGTTTCATTGATTTTTGAATTGTTTTATTTGTTTGTAATTGATTGATTTCAGCTCTGATTT